TTAGCAACATTAGCCTTACAGAGAGCCAAGAAGCTCTTTTGGAAAACAAAATACAACATGTGATGCTTACTTTGTCTGGAGCTGACGTTCGCGTGCGAAGCGTTGGTATCGATCCCTCTTTCAGAAGAAATCTTTGTCAAACTCCAGCGCTGAACTGACCCTTGTTTGTGAGGTGGTCCTGCGTAAAATGATTAGCACAAACATATAGGACTTTTCCGTTTTTTTCTGAAACATTTCCTTCGAAAATGAAATTTAACCACCATGTCCTCAGCGGTCTATGGAGACTCCCATGTTCGTTGGTGCATCCCAACACATGACACTTTTAATGGCTCTTTGGTGCTGACATTGTACCTCCAGCAGCTACAGCAAGAAAACAGTAATGGCGGACCGCTGCTTCTCACTCAGGGCTGTTCCCCGAGTATGACATCATAGTAGTGAGAAATCTGAAACTGCTAGTGTGGAGAAACTGTTTATGATTTATTGGGATTATAAAACAATGAGTGGGTGGATTTTTACCATTATAGGCTAGTTGTTTTCACACACTGCGGCCACACACCTGTGTTCAAACATCTTATAAAAGTGATTTTTGCATTCGATGGCACCTTTAAGAATTGCCTCCGTTTTTGCCACGTTTCTCTATTAACAGTGAAGCTTTAATTGCTTTAATTGCTTCAGAAACCAGGTTACCAACTCTTTGCTGAGAAAGATAATGTAGCTCTTCAGCAGTGAAGCTCTTTTATTGATGAAATTGAGGGGCAGCACAGTAAGAGACTGAATGTGTGCGCATGAGCTACAGTAAAGACAGCGCATTAATTAAGAATGCTTCTAATTTTTGTTTTTATTTTTTAAAGGTAGAGAGTGGGTTAATTTGTGCAATGATAACCTACCAGCAATGTAAGGTGATTTTATAAATATAATAGAATGAGTACATTACAATATATATTAGAACGAGTACATTATTATTTATGGGCTTAAAAACAAGATGCAACCAATCATAATATTGTGCCTGGTGGGGAGTACCCAATGTTAACATGAAACCTATGCCATTACCTATATTGTTATACTGTGGTACAGTTATGGAGGCCGTTCATGATGCAGAGGTCAACTGCCTGCTCCGCCTATAGTTAGCAATGGCCCTATATGCAGTGTTTAATAAACAGCTGTTTTACAAAATTCTGCTGAGGTGAAAATTAGTGCAGTTCCGTATCGGGATACATATCGCATCGTGACTTTGTTGGTGATACACAGCCCTAAAATACATACATACATAATACATAATACATACATAAGTATATATATATATATATATATATATATATATATATATATTTTCTGAGTAATTTCACGTGCTTTCGTGCTGTCAGATTTGAATTTTCTGGTGCTGTCAAACACTTGCGCGATAGAGGGAGTCACGCTAGCCTTTGTTTGGCATTTAGCTTTCGTAGCTAAAGCAGCCTCCGCTTTAGCTTTGATGAACTCGTTATGTTCCTTGGCATGTCGGCATTTAAGGTGTGTAATCAAATTAGTTGTGTTAAAATTTTTAACTGAAGTTCCACCTCGCGAAATTTTAGCTGTGCATAGCTTACAAACTGCAGTTTTGTCGTCATTGTCAGCCACTTCAAAGTAATTCCACACAAGAGACATCTTTACACACAGCACGTATTCGATGCATTCCCGCCAATTTTGATTGACAGGATATATCGGCCCTGATCATCGGATGTTTTTAAACAATCGGCCGATGGCCGATAGCGCGAAAAATTGCTTCTATCCGATAGCCGATACCGATTGTTGGCCGATACATCGGTGCATCTGTAATATATATATATTTATATACAAAAAGCATATATATAATATTTTTATATATAAACACACACACATATACAATACATACACTCTCATTGAGATCGCATTTGTCAGTCATGTACGTTATCAAGGATTTCTCATTTCAAAAAAGTAGTTACTCTGTTATTCTGTCTGAGATATACATTGCTGTAATTTCTTTCTTATTTTAGATTGTAATAGTTACTTTTTTTAAAACGACATATCCTTAACAATGTATCTGGCCAAAAAAATTCTACCTCCTGAGGGAAATTTTTGTCAATATCGCACACCTCTACTGTCACAGTTATATTTCATGGTTCAATATGGTGAACCAGCAGCATTATGTGTTCTTAAAGGGTTAGTTCACCCAAAAATGAAAATTAGGCTGTATTTTACTCACCCCAGAGGCATCCTAGGTGTATATGACTTTCTTCTTTCAGACGAATCCAGTCGTAGTTATATTAAAAATTGTCCTGGCTATTCCAAGCTCTATCATTGCAGTCAGCGGGTGTTGCAGTTGAATTATAATATGTGTTCAAACAGCTGATAAAAAAATCACAATAATTGATAAGTAATCCACATTACTCCCGTCCATCAATTAACCTTATGTAAACTGAAAAGCTGTGTGTTTTCAGAAAACAAATTAATGTT